TACATTTTGTCCCGTCCTTAACATCTCATGGAATGATCTGCGATTACATAGTTTGGATAGACTGATCATACACTCCTATATAGAAATGAAAAGAGATCATTTCATGACATGATAAGGACGACAAAGAATGCAAGGGTTCCCCCTTGCAAACTATGTAATCACAGAATGCAAGGGGCCCCCTTGCATATTGTCCCGTTCTTTACATCTCATGGAATTATCTGCGATTACATAGTTTGGATAGACTAATCATACACTCCTATATAGAAATGAAAAGAGATCATTTCTTGACATGTTAAGGACGACACAGAATGCAAGGGTCTCCCCTTGCATTTTGCCATGTCCTTAACATCTCATGGAATGATCTGCGATTACATAGCTTGGATAGACTGATCATACACTCCTATATAGAAACGAAAAGAGATCATTTCATGACATGTTAAGGACGACAAAGAATGAAGGGTCCCCCTTGCAAACTATGTAATCACAGAATGCAAGGGTCCCCCCCCCCTTGCATTTTGTCCCGTCCTTAACATCTCATGGAATGATTTGCGATTACATAGCTTGGATAGACTGATTATACACTCCTATATAGAAATGAAAAGAGATCATTTCATGACATGTTAAGGACGACAAAGAATGAAGGGTCCCCCTTGCAAACTATGTAATCACAGAATGCAAGGGTCCCCCTGCATTTTGTCCCATCCTTAACATCTCATGGAATGATCTGCGATTACATAGCTTGGATAGACTGATCATACGCTCCTATATAGAAATGAAAAGAGATCATTTCATGACATGTTAAGTACGACACATAATGCAAGGGTCCCTCCTTGCATTTTGTCCCGTCCTTAACATCTCATGGAATGAAAAGAGATCATTTCATGACATGTTAAGGACGACAAAGAATGCAAGGGTCCCCCTTGCATTTTGTCCTTTACATCTCATGGAATTATCTGCGAATACATAGTTTGGATAGACTGATCATACACTCCTATATTGAAATGAAAAAATATCATTTCATGACATGTTAAGGACGACACAGAATGCAAGGGTCCCCCTTGCATTTTGTCCAGTCCTTAACATCTCATGGAATGATCTGCGATTACATAGTTTGGATAGACTGATCATACACTCCTATATAGAAATGAAAAGAGTTCATTTCATGACATGTTAAGGACGACACAGAATAAGATGTTAAGAACAGGACAATTTGCAAGGGGGGACCCTTGCAATTCGTGACGTCCTTAACATATCATGAACTGATCTTTTTTCATCTCTAGAAGGAGTCTATGATATCTATCTATCCAAACTATGTAATTGCAGATCATTTCGTGAGATGTTAAGAACAGGACAAATCCCAAGGGGGGACCCTTGCAATTCTTCTCGTCCTTAACATCTCATGAAATGATCTCTTTTCATCTCTAGAAGGAGTCTTTGATCTCTGTCTATCCAAACTATGTAATTGCAGATCATTTTATGAGATGTTAAGAACAGGACAAATCGCAAGGGGGGACTCTTGCAATTCGTGTCGTCCTTAACATCTTATAAAATGATCTCTTTTCTTCTCTAGAAGGAGTCTATGATCTCTGTCTATCCAAACTATGTAATTGCAGATCATTTCATGAGATGTTAAGAACAGGACAAATCACAAGGGGGACCCTTGCAGTTCGTGTCGTCCTTAACATCTCATGAAATGATCTCTTTTCATCTCTAGAAGAAGTTTTTGATATCTGTCTATCCAAACTATGTAATTGCAGATCATTTCATGAGATGTTAAGAACAGGACATATCGCAAGGGGGGACCCTTGCAATTCGTGTCGTCCTTAACATCTCATGAAATGATCTCTTTTCATCTCTAGAAGGAGTCTTTGATATCTGTCTATCCAAACTATGTAATTGCAGATCATTTCATGAGATGTTATGAACAGGACAAATCGCAAGGGGGGACCCTTGCAATTCGTGTCGTCCTTAACATCTCATGAAATGATCACTTTTCATCTTTAGAAAGAGTCTATGATCTCTGTCTATCCAAACTATGTAAATGCAGACCATTTCATGAGATGTAAAGAACGGGACAAATGACAAGGGGGAACCCTTGCCATTTGTGTTGTCCTTAACATCTCATTAATTGATCTCTTTTCATCTCGAGAAGGAGTGCATGATCTATGTCTATTAAAACTATGTAATTGCAGATCATTTCATGAGATGTTAAGAACGGGACAAATAGCAAGTCCATCAAGTCGTACACATATCCTTTAATGGGTGACAATAGTGATGAAACAGACTTTGAAAAGTTAGCATCTTGGATAGTTTTCACCTCGCCCTCATTCGTGACGTTATAGTAAGAATGCGCAATATGTACGCCCTCACACTTTGCAAACACTAAGGGGAAAACATTGTGCCATAATATTGTCGGTGGTTCTATATGAAGGATGGAAGATGAGAAGAAGAAAGGCTTTGCCAGGGTGGGGGCTAAAGGTGTTTGTTAAAGAGGTGGATAAGGGGAGGAGGGATGGAGTAGGTCTTTACCCGAAAGCTTCTGATAAAAGGGAAGAGCACCCACACGTTCGTCACCCTTTTCTTTGCGGCCAACCTTTCATTGAGAAAGATGGAATATCCTACCAAAAGGCGGAATGAAGGAATTCGGTGAATGGAAGAAAAAATAATAAAAAAGTTCAAAGAATGACGACAAAATGTTAACGGCCATCAAGTCGTCCACATATCAGAAAGCAAAAAGCCTACAGCACCCGGTATTCCCGAAGTTCCTCCCATCTTAGTGCTGACCAGGCCCTACGCTGCTTGACTTCGGAGATTGGACGAGAACCGGTATGTTCAGCATGGTATGGTCGTTGACATTTGTTTCTTCAATGCTAACCTATTTAAAAGAAACTAGTGACGTCACCATCTAATTATTTTTGAGAAAATGTGATCTCGACGAGTTCACAAATTGGTGTCAGTTAATGGAGATGCTTCGGTTTCATCTATTCATGATTTGTTTCAAGTGACCGACTGAGTGAGGAAACAGGGAAACCTCGAATGCTGCTCCTCTAACTAAAAGACAAGCTCCTCTTCAGATGGGGCTTTTGTTCTATGGCATGGAGGTATCAATCACAAAGAGCGGAACGTCTATGCCCATTGTAGATCAGGTCCTGTAGAAAAGGAATACAATATGGATACATCTTATCAAAAATCATCCTTTGATGCGTGACAATAGTGATGAAACAGACTTCGAAATGTTAGCATCTTGGATAGTTTTCACCTCGCCCTCATTCGTGACGTTATAGTAAGAATGCGCAATATGTACGCCCTCACACTTTGCAAACACTAAGGGGAAAACATTGTGCCATAATATTGTCGGTGGCGCTATATGAAGGATGGAAGACAAGAAGAAGAAAAGCTTTGCAGGGTGGGGGCTAGAGGTGTTTCTTAAAGATGTGGTTAAGGGGAGGAGCGGTGGAGTAGGACTTCACCCGAAAGCTTCTGATAAAAGGGAAGAGCACCCACACGTTTGTCACCATTTTCTTTGCGGCCAGTCTTTCATTGAGAAAGATGGAATATCCTATCCAAATAGGGAATGAAGGAATTCGTTGAATGGAAGAAAAAATAATTAAAAAGTTCAAAGAATGACGACAAAATGTAAACGGCCATCAAGTCGTCCACATATCAGAAAGCAAAAAGCCTACAACACCCAGTGTTCCCGAAGTTCCTCCCATCTTAGTACTGACCAGACCCTATGCTGCTTGACTTCGGAGATTGGACGAGAACCGGTATGTTCAGCATATGGTCGTTGACATTTGTTTCTTCAATGCTAACCTAAAGAAATTTAAAAGAAATTAGTGACGTCACCATCTGATTATTTTCGAGAACATGTGACCTCGACGATCGCGAGTTCACAAATTGGTGTTAGTTTTAAGGGAAGACATGCCCAGCCTCCTCACCTGTTTGGTTATGAAGTGGTACGCTCATTTGGGCATCTCATTTGACCTAAAGGGGGCGCTAGAGACATAGAAGAGCCGGGCTGGGTTGATTAATTGTACGATTATTAGTTTGACTTGGTATACACCTAAAAGTTAAATAGCATTCATTATGTTTCAAATAGTATGCCGGGAACGGGTAAACAACCCCTGGTTTTGAATTATTGCATGAGAATTCCTAACTTTTCGATATGAACGTTGGAAATGAAATATGAAAGATGTACAGGTGTTCATTTTCAATAACACGTTAGACAATATACTGTTTTGCCGGGGACGCGACATTCTCGCGAAGAGCTGGACTCCTCCCATTTTTGTTGGTGACTGGTTCAAATCACTCTTATGCTTTGTCATTTGTTATAATTGATTAAAGGTATAACTCCTCTCTTAATTGGTCGGATGACCTAAGGGTAATTATATATATCCCGTCTTGTAATTGGTTGTCTTCTTAAGGGTCCTCCTGGTTGGCTGGTGATATGGAAGCCTCGTCGGGTACCGCAGTATTTAAATGCCATGTGCGGGGTTTTGTAGTCATATTATTCGAGAGTTTATTTCTTTCCTTTAACATGTTTAGGATGTGCTGCTAGTTTACTGTCAATATGGCCGCCCAGCCTCTGAGAGAAGCAGCTTATTTAAAATGTATATACAATAATTACTCTTCGTTTGTAACGATTGGAGCTTCGGCTGACTTATATAATGAATAAAGTGGACTTCAATTGTAATTCAGAGCTTCTTTTGTTTTCATTTATATTTGAAATTGTCCAACTCATTAACTGGCCCACCACAGCCTCCTCATCTGTTTGGTTGTGGGAAGACATGCCCAGCCTCCTCACCTGTTTGAGTCTCTCTAATGTTTTTTACACGTCTTTATATTTAATAAAAATTCTATTTCATATCCTTTCAAAGACCTTCTAAAGGTCGCCCCCCCCCCCTTGGATCCGCCCCTGATTATAGTCATTTTTACGATACTGTAGTGTTTGCCCAGGTGGAAAGGTGTATTACGCTAAACACCATATACCTCTCTTGTATGATAATTCGCGCACAGCGAGAATTTTACGGAAACACGTTGCACTGAAAATTGGTGTCTTGTTTATCTCTGGTCTTTGACTCTATGCTCAGTATACGTTTGTATGGGAAAAAGCGTACACTAATTACATTCTAGCTGCTACCCCTTAGTCTTAGAAGATTCAGCCAGATTTTGAGTAAGTTATATATTTGCTTTACTTTTCTTTACTTTACTATATACTTTGGCCTAAATTACGTTAGTTCAACGATGCTTGTAGGACTCTGCCTATTCATCCATCGTTTGAAATAAAGTACAAAATGTTTCAAACTACCAAATTGAACATAATGAGAGTAATATTCAGGGATTATAATTATACATGAATAAAAGTTTGTTATTTATCAATGTCATGTAGGTCTAATTAATATAATTTCAGCAAAAAAGGAATTGAAAACTCTTTATAATTCAGAGGCGAATACGGGAGGGTGTATGGGGGTATTGATGATCTCATTTTCTCCCCTCCCCACGCCCTTTCTCTTCTATTGCCTCCTACATGTATTACGAACTGACATTTAATCAATGAAAGTAATTTGAGAAACAAAAATTATCTCTTTTTGGCGCCACAATTGTCGTGTTTGTCGTTTATGTTTATTTCCAGCTCGATAAAATAAACGTTGAAACAAAAGCCACTTGCTACCAAGCTGGTACTAAGGAAAATGTTTATTTACTATAGGCTCAACAACAAAAATCATACGCAGTACGGTATTGCCTAAAATATGTTGATACCAGTTATATCACAGCTATCACAATTATGAAAACCAACAATAAAATAAAACATGTGTATCCTACTAAATGAATCAGTTGAGGACACATTCTATATCCGATTTTGAAAAGCAATTGGTTTGCTTATCAATTTGGCTTAGAGTGAAATTTAAAAAACGAAAATGCAAGAAATAGGGGAGAAATGCCGTTTATTGTCATTCCTATTATCACCAGAAGGATTTCATAAGAATTTTATATTTATTCCATACAACAGTCATCATCCTCTTTCACAAGGTTAGCTGTAAAATGTCAAGTGACTTGTAATGGGTAATAATGTATTATTCATCTACAGTAGGGCATGGTTAACCATTTGTTTTCTTCAAAGTATAAAGTCAAAATCTTCCGGGCTAAAAAAAAAAATATTATCGCAATGTCGAGAAAAAAAAAGGGTAATCAAATCTTTTTCCTACCACGTACCCCGGCCATCCCTTCCCCTGAACACGTGAATGAACAATAAAGATAATGCTAATGTTGATTTGATCCTTTATTCTCCATAATGGTATTCCTCGTTCCACCTGTATTAAACACATCATGTATATTTCTAGAACATGTAGGCATTCTAGTTTGATTTATTTTTTCAGCTAACTACACTATGTTCTATAACTTCATATGTTAATAATTTAAAGAAATTTGAAACTGTATACCCATTCTACTAACAATGGACACGTTGTGTGTGCCCACTTTGATTCGTACACTATAGCTCCATATACATGTAAAGCTGCTGTACATATTTGGAAAGCTAATACAACTTACCAAACTTTCCATTCTATACAATAGACTCGCCATACCAAAGCGACACGCATTGTATGGTCTATTGAACTGATTTGCAAAAAGTTTGACCAATTTCTTAACAAATCTGGTGTAATCCCGTCGTTAGAAAGAAGACTTCTTTTGGCTTACAAAATGCAAAACCGAGTTAATCTCAGAACTCCATAGCGAGTTACGTAATCGAGGCAATACCGTCCAATACATTTTCGTATAGTGGTAGAAAAAAAAGATAAAAGAAGTGGGATAGGATCAACACAGAAGGTAGCTCTAGGTGTACCCCCCCCCCCCGCGCTACCGAACACATGTTTAGATTCCGCACGAAAATGGATCGTCCTGTCATAGCAACAGGAACGGTTCCTAATACTACTACTACTACTACTACTAGTAGTAGTATAGTAGTAGTAGTAGTAGTAGTAGTAGTAGGTGTATCATGATTCATACATAGCTAGTGTTCATGTATGTCCCTTTTGCAGTTAACATCAAATTCTGTAGAACTTTGCAGGAATTATATGTCATGTATGTCCTATCTGTGAAATTTAAACACTAGCAGCGTCATAATAGTATTCAAATTATGCAAAGAAACCCGTTTACCTTCTAGACTTCGCTTGTCAGACACTTTGGAGTGACTGACTGACATTTATTTTTTCTTTGGTAATAACATACATAACATGAGCTGTAACAGATTATTGAGCATTTGTCTACATCTATAATCCACTCCTTGTAATGGCCAAAATTAAACTGGTTGAATCTCTGTGCAGGGCAAAACCTACGACCATTCGGTAAAAGGTCTGAAAATCAGACTATTACTTCTGTGATTGCAATCACTTAAGTCAATTCGACAACTAATGGTTGTTATTTTCCCACTTAAAGCCATTTTCAAGCCCTTTCGTTTTGAGGGAAGTTCTAAATTAGTATTGTCTTTCAAATGCCGTTGGAATTTAACCTTTTCATTTGTTTGGCCTGCAAATGAGACATAGTGCCTTTCATGAATTGAAGATGGCATCTGCCATCTTTTATATTGAGTGTCGAAATATTGTTGTTTTTTTCTTAGCAGTCCTCAACAGAGTTCTAAAAACCAATACAAGTGTTTGCCTATATAGTGCGGTATGGTATGTAATCCCGTAGGATTTTTTTGCCAAAATTGAATTTTTTGCTGTTTTGGCTTCAAAAGGGTCCCAATTGGCCAAAAATGATGGGGTTCAAATTTTCAGACCCCTCCTTCACTTCCTGGGGGGTCCATTTTGGGCGCCAAAATTGCATATATAAAGCGCAATAGGGAAATTTGGTGTCTTCCACCCTAAATTCATATATTGTTTCGCCAATTTCACTGTGAAGTTTTTTGAGGTATATAAGGATTCATTTTTAATGATATTGTGTCATAAAACTTTTTCACTTTGACGTTATGGGGGCGCAATTTGCGAAAAATTGTGAAAAACTGGGAAATATTTCCTAAAAATGTGCCCTTCTTCTTTCTTTTGGGCTAGAATTTTGAAATAAGAAGTGGAAATGGCATTATTGTGTATTATTATAGAGTGGAATAATTGTGAAACATATCACATGTCATTAACACTGTTATTTTAGGCTGTTAATATAAAAAATCAACCCTATTTTAGTATTCTATCAAATGAATAACTTACTTAAACACCAGATGACGCCAAACACCTTCAGATGATAATATAACAAAATTCTCAAATATCAACTTCTAGGCACTGTAATTGCATCAGTCAATCAGAAAGTTGACAAATTATATATGTAATATTTTTTTCAAATGCAGAATAATACGAAAATGTGCATTTTGTTTTGTTGATATGATTTTTGATGTCCAATGACTTGAACCCGCTCCAGCACATCTATTTCTCGTTTGTACACTTGCCTGTAGAAAATTGTAGAGAAGTGGGCACTGCATTGTTTCCACAAGATACTAGATGAATTAAGAGAAGGAGGACATCAGTGTCAGGGACCAGACAGTAATTTCTTGCAAGGCACCACTAGCAGTAGAGGCAAGGACTTGATTATGAATCAGGGTATCAGCCTCATCATGTGTGTGCGCCTCCTCCAAATCATGTCCCTTGATGAAGGTAAATGTATCATACACAACTACTAGCTTGAAAGGGCTGTCCGTGTTCTGTGAAAAGTTATCAAGCAGCCCCTGACCTAACAGGCACGTCAGCTTTTTCTTGGTTGACGATGAAGATAGAAGCTCCTTGATGGACATTGTGAGCTTCATTTCTGGGTGTATCTCGTATTCTACTGATGTAGTTGCCCTCTTTTGTCGAGTCTTGTTCTTTAATGACTCTTCCATATATCGATCAAACACAACTCGACCTTCATCATAGCTAGCCATCATCCCTTCGATGCGCCTGTTGAATGCATTCTGCAGGTCTGACATATTTTGCATGGCAGCTAGTGTCTTTTTCATGCCTTGAAGTACACCCATGACGTCAATTATCAGCACCTTGACAGGAAGATCATGCAAGAGGTTAGGTTTTTGGGCTGCTCCAGAAGGAACCTGCGTTATCTCATATTCTACGGTAACCGGAACCTCTTCCTGCATCATTTCAACCTGTGGGGAAGTTGAATATGATTATCCTCCACGACATCAGGCTGTTTAACAGCATCGGGAGGTTCTGCCTTTGCATCTTCAACTGCATGCATCAGACCTGCTTTGTCTGTTGGGATGTACAAAAAACCATCGACAGCACATAGTGAACGGGGAACCACTGAAATTTCATATTCACCTATTGTTTCCGCAAGTTTAGGAACTAAGCTTGGGCGGCTGCCTTGGATGATAAGGAATCTTCCCAGCAATTCACGTTCCTCCCGCAACTTGATGACCTTGTCTTCAACAGGCACTTTCCTTTTCTCCATCCATTTCGAAAAGGATTTCAGCTTCAGTTTCTTCATTTTATCCCACACCGAGAGGGTTGATGATGAAAGCAAACGATCAAATACAAACTCCTCAAAGCGCTTCTGGCCCTGTTCTGCAAAGTGGAGAATGTCACTTTTCGCATCATTTGACACAAGTGTCGATGAAACCAGACTCTTTAATTGTGTCTTCTCCTTGAAAGGATTGACTCCGCCGTGCAGCTCGATTAGTTGGCGTAGTTTCATAGCATTCTTCTTTGACCTCACTGCAATGTCTCCTGAGAACTGATGATGCTCCTTCCTCACCGAAGCTCCAATAGCTTTTGGGAAGTCATTGAGGTAATGATTTACCAGAGCAGCAAGGTGAGGTGTGGTAGTGACTAGTCGGCCCAGAGCGGCTTCATTTCTTGTGAGTCCAACCATCCCACCATTCCCCTTTAGTTTCTTGATTTCTTGCTTTAGAGCCTGATCAGTGAAGAGAAGAGAAAAGGGTATCTCTGACTTTGCCACCACAAAGTCTCCAGACTTAAGGGCATTCCATGTTTCTGGATCATCCTATTCTAGGGCATTCATTTGAGCGAGTTGGACTGGCATCAGGCGAGCATAGTTCAGGAGATCACGAGCAAAAAGTACTTGGTGAGGTCTTCTAGAGATGACAAGTAGCCCTCCCAGTCCCCTGATCGACATGAACTAATGAGATGTAGAAGACTCTCCACCTGGTTAAGATACCGGGTCAAGAACTGGGCAAACTCGCCAAGGTCTTCAGCTTCTTCAAGCGGTTTGACATTGCTTGAGTACCAGGATTGGATTTCTTCATAGATCTCCACCATCTCCGGGTCATGTCCATGAAGTTTTTCTTTGAGAGAATTGCACTGGATGCGAATTGGACCCTTGGGAAGATCCGATAGTATGGCATCAAAACGCAACATCATGATTGCAAGGCTTGCAGTAATGTGGAATTCAAGGCCACGCTTATAAGCTTTACCACCAAAGATCCTGCAAAGAGATGCTGAGGTGTGCGCACCACATTCGATAGCACATGTGTCAAGACCGCTACCATCGATGGTTTTGCCAAGAGCATATAAGGCAGCGAAAGCAATGTGGAGAGCTCCAGCTCTTAAGATCCAGTTGGCGTTTCCCACCGACTGCTGAATCTTCAACGCTCGGGAGTAAAGATCGAGATCTAGCGTTATCAATGTCTTTCTGTGAGGGCCAACAACAGTCGCAGATATTCCCTGGGATAACCGAAGAACAGTATAGAGGGTCCCATAATCAGTTGGCGATGTCTTGAATAATGGGGCAACCACCGCTGTGTTTGTAGGCGTGCTAGCGGGAGAGGATTGAGACAACAATAAGGACCTAGTTGCAGCCCATGTTGGAAGAACATCATTCTTTGCTAGTTTATCTGATTTCTTCACCTGCTTTTTGATGATCACGACAGAGTTTGTTTCCTCTCTGTCCTTTGAAGACCCAGCTTCCTCCTTCTTGCTAGAAGGCTCATTTTCCTCATTATTTGTAGACTCTGCATCACTTGGCATCTCTTCACTGCGCTGGGCTTATTCATCATGCAGCTGAGGTTCAGTTCGGATGATTTCTCCGTTGTCATCTGTTGTAAGGTAGTACACAAAAGCCCAGGTATGAGTGAATTCTTGAGAAATGAGATTTTGGTTCCTCTTCTTGTAGGCCTGAAATCTCAGTGGGCTAGTTCTGATGTCCGGCTCTGGAAGCACATTCATCTCAAATGCTAGAAGGCCTTGCGAAGAAAGTTTCTCGGGTATGACACGTGGTTGATTCACTGGCTCTCCATCTACAGTCTGTTGGTTGATTACCACTGTCCCGTGAAAGGTTCCTTGCCCTGTGGGTGTGTCTTCCAAGAGATCAATGTTGTCAATGGCAAACCAGATGTTCACACCCTTCTTGACAAAATCAGGAAGACAAAACCCAAGAGAGGGATACTGCTCCTTTGTTAGTAACTGAAAATGCTTGAGCAGTCGTATTGTTAAAACAGCTGAATGTTCTCATTAAGATGCACATAATCAGAAGGCGGTGGATCTCATTGGATCAAAGAAAGAATAACGTTGAATGTCCTTCCGTAATAGGTCCATGATCTTATATATATATATATATATATATATATATCAATGCATACAATGTTTACCAATTTGTCAATTTAACCATCTAAGTTGATTGATTGATCAAGAGTAATAAAGTTCTCTCTTGTTTTTGCAATTTATTTTCTTCTTCTCTAACCGATAATGAAGACCCACATCACATAAAATTTTAAAATCGAGATTTGCCATTGGCTATATGTTTATGCTTACCTTGGAAAATCAGGCAATATACTGCAAAAGAGGGTCTTTATTCTGTCAAACTTGCGAAGACCAAGGAACAAAACAACTTTACCACAGAAGAGCTGGAAACAATGATCACAGAGCAGCATAATATTATGTAGGAATGTGTGCGCGCTGTGTGCGCGCGAGCGCACTTGCCTGTGAATGTTTGGGTGTGTGTGTGTGAGTATGTGCGTGTGGGAGGAAGGGTGTGCGTGTGTGTGGGGGGGGGGGGAGGTAGATGTGTATACATGAAGGTTGTCTGTATGTTTGTTTCTGTCTCTTTTTGTTTGGAAATGGGCTAGCAAATATATATGATAATGGTAATAAAAGTACTACACCTTAAAACAGCTGGCCGAACAATGGCAAATGTACGCAATTTGGGCTGACGGGGGTGGCGTAGGGATGGGGATGGGTTGGTTAGAGGGTTTATCCAACTGAAAGTCTTCAAATTACCTTTCTCGGTGTTGAGGGATAACCACAGTTCTAGAAAACAACTCAAGTTTTGTGAAACCAGTCATTAGATGAATGACACACCCAATTTTAGGGGGTCTCATGATAGGAAACTACCCCCCCCCCCCCCCCAGAGAGGGGTTGAGGGTCGGGAAAATTTGAACCCCATCAATTTCTGATAGCTTGGACCCCAATCAATCAAAAAATGCCAAAAAATCAATTTTGGCACAAAAGTCCTACGGGAGCTGTTTCAGTGACATACCGTACCACACTAATAGCTGTTATCTCTTAAACATAATTTCAAATGTAAAACTACGTTGGTGATCTATGCGTATTCAAAACAATGTAAATATGCGTACTTGGCCGCATTGGATTAAACTGAAAGAGGTATGTAATTGTGGGGGTGTTGTTGTATAGCGGCTCATGTACTTGACCCTCAATCTAAGGGTTAAGGGCTCGAATCTCAGCCCGCCATGCACAGACGTTCTTTCACATTACATTAATCCATATTTGCTACTCTCCACCCAGGTGTACATGGGTACCTGGGAACCGCTTTGGTAATGATAATTGCAGGGTCCTTGGGAAGAAAAGCATTGAAGCTGATGAGGATTCCCTGGGGTAAACAAAATAATAATAATTATTATTATTATTATAATTATGATTACTTTCATTATCAATATTCATCTTGATCAGAGGTGTCGTGGACGAGTGGATATGTCACCGGACTTGTGGATCACAGGGTCCGCGGTTCAAGTCCTACCGCTGCACTAATGTCCTTTGGCAAGACATTGATCTACATTTGCCACTCTCCACCCAGGTGTTAAATGGGTTCCCGGTAGGATGCGAAAGCTAATGTGCTTAGATTAGCAAGTGTGCGCTTGTAAAAATGATGCACTGGCTGGAATGCCCCAGGGAGTGGAAAATGTGCATACATTGTGTGCGGGTAAGCCTGAATCCGATGACCGGGGTAATAATAATGATTGCAGGGCCCTCAGGGAGAACAGTATGAATACTGATGAGGCTAATCTGGGTAAACAAGACATATTATTATTATTATCATTCAGGGCATTATATAAAAATGAACTCCTGAACTATGATCGATTCGTTTTTGCCTTTATTATACAGGATGGTAGGGTTACGTCATACATACGTCACAATCCTGGGTGTGATACTCATCGCCTATGGCATCATACTTAACATGCTTGGTGCTATTGCATCATTTCTACATCCGGGTTCTTATCATCATGGTGCAATGGGAACCCCTATGTGGGTTGGTCTAGCGGTAAGTACGTCACCTTACTATCAACAAGAGAGTCGAGATCTGTCACGAAAATTCTTGCTCAAGACTCCATATACATTGACAACATAATGATACAGTTTTGAGAAGAGATTAAAATCATGAAATTTGCGGAGCCTAACTGCATTGGAATGGTGCACAATTTAGGAGAGACACGATCGCAAAATCTTTCGACAAATAAACCCAGAGGAAATATCAATACCTTATTGTATCACGTTTCGCAATACGTCATTGTAATGATCGCACATAATAATGGGCAAGGATACGATGTTTCGAAAGCCTTTATGATCATGGTATCCTACACGAGGCTCTCCCAATAGCCTCACAATAGCACAAATGAGAAAGATAAATTATTTTACGTTTTGACATCCCTAACTTCAGACCCGCCTCTATTAATGAAGGCTTATATATATATATATATATATATATATATATATATGTATAAATGATAATAATAATAACAATAATAATAATAGAGGGTTCTTGTATAGCGCTCATATCAGTCAGACTTGACACTCCTGGCGCTATACATGTATTTCAACTCAATGTATTGGCATACATGTTTCAAGACTTTTGTATTTCAACACACTACGATTAATCACCAATATGAATTCGAAATACTTTCCTTTCGAAACCCTCTCGTTAATTTTCTACGCCTTATTAAACTCTATTTTGCTACAAATTAGTGTTTCGGCACCCCTTTGTTCCAACACCTCTGTGTCTCAGAACTCCTTTGCTGCATAATTCTGACAATGAAAAGGGCTCCTACTTCAAAAAACGATGCAGGCTTCAATTCCATTTTCGAAATTACAAGATGACGCGGAAAACCTATTTTTACTAAGAATCACAATACAATGCGCTTCAACTATTGTTTCGCAATAGAACTATAGGGACACGTTTTTCATGCTTCTGATTATATCGGTTTTTCCATCACAGTTCATCATATTTGGAGCTGTAAATGCTGTAAAAGGGCTGGACAGAAATAAAAAAAAGGTAAGAAATAGTAATCGCATGAAGCAACTAAATGACGGATTCGGATAAAGATAGGAAAAATAATGGACTGGGGTTGTTTTTAAAAGAAAAAAAGTGGATGAGAAAAATTAAATACAAATGAATTAGAAAGGGAAATACAATATAAGCGATGCTATGTATTACTGAACAAATTGCTAAAGCAACCTAAATCATGTCTCTGAATTATCTAAAATCTAATAATATGTAAATTTCCTACTGTAAGTACATTTATTAAGGTTTACCACTAACATTGGCAAATATTTTCGTCTATTCTTTGCATCGTTAAGCCATTTCTTTGTCATATCTGTAATCTTTCTGTACTATACTTTATATAATGCCCTGGCCAGGCGCGTACGCAGGGATGTGTGTATTTTGAAGTAACCCTCCCCCTTTGCTTTTTAATTTTATTTGAAAAATAAATAAATAAATAAAACAAAATTATGCCAATGGTGACCAAAAAAAGATGACCTTATCCCCGCCTCCCCCCCCCCCCCCCCCAACGGAACGAAATGTTGATCTGACAAATTTTCAAATTGTGGCACCAAAAAGAATGTCCTCTTACTCTCCCCTCCCCCCCCCCCCCCCCGGCTGGCTGAGTCGTGGCGAAAATTTCGGCCTGATTTAAAAGTGTTAACTCCCCCCCCCCCCCCCCACCCCCTTTGAAAAAATCCTGCGTACGCTACTGGCCCTGGCAATATTATAAATCAATAATATCGTTAATGAAGTACACCCACTTTTGTTTTCCTATATCACAGCGCGGTATTTCACTGGTTCTACCTCTAACCAACTTTCTAACCATGATAGTATCATCTCTGTGTATTGCTTTGACGTCATGGTCGATGTCAGCACAGGGTATAGCCATCATTCCCAAGCACCCGGTCACTGAGTTCAGTGTGACGTCACAGCAGAACACTACGAATGGTGATGATGATAGGGTATCTGACCTTCAGCTGTCATTGATACCAATCTACTCCACCATTATCTCATCATGCATTATCATCATTCTCATGGCATTCATCAGTTTGTGTATAGACTGTATAGGTATCATAATCCGGGCGAGACCAGCTATTGCAGCTGAAGTGCATCATGGGAAGGGATTTGATGAGAGGGATGAAACAGGAAAATCATACCCCGTCGTTGAAGATGAAACAGCACCTCAATATCACCATGGCAATGCAATAGGTGAGGTAATGTATGGTAATACGCCTCCCGTGCAGTCCATACAAGTTGTGAAAACCATCGAAAGACCACGATTCCATCATCACATGGAGCCTATTGAAGATAACCATCGAGGTGCGCTTCAATACCACGCCCATCATAATCAACATGACGATGCCCACCAACCAGGTCACGCCTATCAACCAGGCCACACCCATCAATCAGGCCACACCCACCGAACGGGCTATGGACAATCTAAGAGCAGGCACACCACCACGCATCAACCCGAACCAAATGAGAGAGATCACAGGGTCAAGAAATATCCAATACAGGTAACTCAAACCTAACAAAGAGAAATCTCTTAATAGCAAGTTTGCAATGAAGACATGAACACAAATCAGAAGAGCTGATTGGTGAAAGTTTTAACAGAATCGGGCAAACAATACGAAAGTTCTGAATTTCTGAAAGTAATTATCATTCTACTACAGTATTGTAATTTCAGACTGTCCGACGCTATTACGGCGATTTACTGGCGAACAACAGACTCTCCCATTCGATCCAACACAGAAACTTTACTACAATTGCATTTTATTATAAAAATGTATGAATATATCAGATCTTCTGTCTGGGAATCTATACTATTGTATGAAAAGCTATGACGTGACACTCAACATTTTATTATATGGGCACGATGGTGCAATATATAACGTCTTTTTTTCTCGCGCTAAATCGAGTGCAAAAGTGAATTAGACTTCGCACCGCTATCATTCTGCAATGTCTGCAAATTCTAAAAGGCGCATATATACGTGTTATACAACACCTACGTGGATCCCTTTCATTTGATTGGAGGATTGTTGGTCACATGATATTCAATAGATGGTATATTGCACGGTCGTGCATTTTTGGTTATATGCAGACTGCGTACCTCTCTGCCGTGCGCGCGCGTATCCCTGCGTGTATCTGACGCGAAGGCAATCTGAATGTAATCGAGAAGGCTTGAATCCAACATGAATTTATCTTTAATATAAGGAGTAAAGCATTATTTGTTGATTAACGTTCTATTAGATCTTCTTCGATGTTGTATAAAACAAATAATGAATGTTTTTCATTCGTTCAATGGTGCGAATATTTTCATTCGTTGAAAGATTAACATTAATTCTATTTAACTAGGCTGACGCCTCGTTGAATAGAATGTTAATCTTTCAACTCATGAAAATATTCGCACTATTGAACTCATAACCATTCATTATTTGTAGACTACTTGAAACCAAAGAGATACCAGCTAATATCCTCTTTGTTGAAACCCATTTAGAGAACAAGAACAGAGGCAGAAGATTGCACATACATGTATACTCACCGAGTGCGTTTTCCTTCAATATAACATAGTAAATTCATCTCGTAATTCAGAATTCCCCTCATGCAATTACATTTCGACCTCGGTGAAATATAAATGTCAATCGGGGGAAATTTTGAACTTTGTCGGTTCATACATTTTGTTATATTGGAATACTCCTCATGGAGCGGAGCGTGCGTTTTAGGAATTGTATCCAATGAACGGGATAATAATTATAACATCGTGAAGCGCTAGAAACGTAGGATTAAGTGCAACACAGAGGTGATTAATTATTATTATTATTACTACTGTTATTATTAAACTCTGGAGCATTCAAATTTTTGTGTGCACAATATATTTTGAGCACGGCTTCAAAAATAGGGCACTTAGCCAGGCCCCCCCCCCCCTCCCCACTCCGGGGTGCGTATTTTTTTATTTTCACCGTTAAAGGGCTACTTTTCGCGCGACAGAGCACGGTCCGAGAATTGTAAAAAAAGAGGGTGTATTTGACTTTTCACCTGGAGATTTTATTTAAAAGGGGCATTTTTTCTCTCTTTGGACTCGTGAGAACTTAAATAAAGGGGTTATAACATATTTGAAAGGGGTGTTTTTTTCTCTCTCTCTCTCTCTCTTTGGACTCGTGAGAAATTTAAACAGGGGGTTATAACAAAAATATCTTGAATATCATAGAGGGTGGGAGGGGGTACATTGAGCAGTGTTCCGGATTCAGATTCAGACATGTTGGCAGTCCTGAGATAGGGGGAGCATTCAAAAGTAGGGAAAGAACAAACGCGTACCCTACATAACACTGAGTGGGGGCCCGGGGCACTTAGATGAAGCTATTACTGTTTTCTAGGCGCACATTTTCTGTTGCTTCTTTTAAAGAACGATTCCTATATTTGATGGGAATGGAAGAGATGAATCCCCTGTTCATAATTGAGCCTGGCATAATGTAATGATCCATCATATAGTATTATATATTACAATCACGTAATACAATATGATGACGATCAAATCATCTATTATGAGGATTGACTTTGCATTAAATTTAACGTTGTAATGATGAAAAATCCCCACATTACTATATTCTCTTCAATATTTAGCCCAACTCAGCACCAGACCTGCGAGAAACAGAGAGGGCGGCAGAGCGACGTCCTAACCCATACTTCTATTTGTGAGTTAAGACGAGATTAGAAACAGAGGGCAGCAGAGCGACGTCCTGACCCATACTTCTATTTATGAGTTAAGACGAGATGAGTCCTTTCCATCTTCTGGTTAATAGTCCGGGTGGTCATCCTATATTTATGCGCACAACAGACGCCTATCCCCTGGACAACTACTACCAGGTATTATGGACAACAGACATCTATACTACACAACAGACATCTTTTCCCTGGATAACTAATACAAGGACAACTATCATCTAGGAAGGTTACCACCCCCCCCCCCCCCTCCCCCGACAAACTGCCTCTGGACTCCTAAACGCCTTCATGCAGAATACCCCAATTAACCATCAGTCAGTGCTAATCTTAAGGGGGAATTTGTCCCAGGGATAGTTATCCACAGGATAGTTGTCCCGAGGTATTGTCTTGGGGGAGCAATTGCTGGTGGTAGTAGTTCGGGATACTTCTACAGTTTATTCTAGATGGGTAAAATGCAGGCCCTTCAGGACACCGGGAAGACTGGCCCTTTTCTAAATGGTTATTATTATTTTGTTGTTTGGGCTGAATTTTAGATGATTGTGTCTCCTTCATGCGTGTTAGAGGAGAGGCTCATAATTATACAATTCACCTGTGAATGGAGAAAAGGTATCTACTTCGGTACTCTATGGCAAGTACACAATGGTATTGAAACTGCCCCGAGATGATTTTGCAAAAGTATTAGCGATCGTCGTACCTCTCTTTTCAAGAGCTTCTTACGGTTCTGCATTATTATAATTATATGCATGTTAATATTGTAACAGGAAGGTAATGGATGGAAGGAGGTCACAAATAGTTGTAAAGTGGTACAAAAATAATATATATGTATGGTTAATACTTTTGTATATTTCTCTTTCATCTTGTTTGTGTTTACTAGCGAGACTTTTTGTAGGGGGGATCGTCCCCCCCCCCCCGGAAGATTTGAAAAAGTGCATTAAAAAAAAGTACAGCAAATACTGACTAAAGACTGCAACACACTATTTGGCTTTGGAGGGCCCAAGAGTGCAGCGTTTAGACAAATACAAATCCAAAATCTTCTGGCTCGGGAGCTATGCTCCCTCGCATAATATCCTTCAAAATATTTAAGTAAATATTGTAGAAAAGTGAATTGTGAAAAAAAGTATATTGTTGCTTTTCATACTATAGTTTTCCTAAGGAATATAATTTTGTAATACAACAAAACTTCAAAACCTGTAAGGGGGTAGTTACTTTCGTCACCTTCAGCCCTCTCGTTCACTATGCTCACTCACTCGGGCTTGGGGTAGTTCCCTCCCCCCCCCCCCCCTCCCCGATAAAATTCGAACGTGGTTTATTTCTAATTCGATACCAGTGACTAATTTACAAATTTTGCTGAAATGGCATGATTTTCTCTGAGCTCCCGGGAGCTCTGCCCCCTGTACCCCACCAAGGGCCCTAAGACGGGCCCCTGGTTGCTCAGCTGACCATAATTGCCTAAAACACCTAAGCTTCAGGGGGCTCCGACCCCTGGACCCCATCAGGACCCTGACCATATTCAAAAGCCTAAAACCCTGAGCTTCCGGAGGCTCCGCGCCCTACACCCCACCAAGGGCCCTAAGGCGACCCCTGGATGATCATCTGATTGTAAGTTAATGCCTAAAACCGCTGAGCTTTTGGGGGCTTCGCCCCCTGGACCCCACTCCGATTACAGACCTGCATGCAAGTGTCACAAATAAGGTATCAAAATATGCTCATCTGACCCTTCCCAGGTCGAAAATCCCATAGAAACCAGTAGAGAAAACCAGTACAGATTTCTAACGGTTTCTAGTGGTCAATTCTCTACTGGTTTCAATATGGAAAGTGGCGCTTTTTCCATTAGAAACCAGTAGAAAAAAATTGTACTGGAACCAGCAGAAGACCAGTAGAAGACCATTAGCAAAACCTAATGGCACCATTAGGAGACCAGTAGGAATCCCAACTGGAACCATTAGGAGACCAGTAGGAAACGAGTACAAATCCCCACTGGAACCAGTAGGGTAGCAGTAGAAATCGATATAAAAACCATTAGAAGACCAGTAGAAAAGAAGTGCTGGAACCATTAGACAAGTAAAAAAGAAGTCATCGAACCATTAGGAGACCAGTAGGAATCCATACAGAAACCATTAGGATACCAGTAGAAAACCAGTAGAAAACCCCAATGGAACCATTAGGAGACCAGTAGGAATCCCAACTGGAACCATTAGGAGACCAGTAGGAATCCATACAGAAATCATTAGGATACCAGTAGAAAACCAGTAGAAAACCCCAATGGAACCATTAGGAGACCAGTAGGAATCCCAACTGGAACCATTAGGAGACCAGTAGGAATCCATACAGAAACCATAAGAATACCAGTAGAAAACCCCAATGGAACCATTAGGAGACCAGTAGGAATCCATACAGAAACCATTAGGATACCAGTAGAAGACCAGTAGAAAACCCTAATGGAACCGTTAGGAGACCAGTAGGAATCCCAACTGGAACCATTAGAAGACCAGTAGGAATCCATACAGAAACCATTAGGATACCAGTAGAAGACCAGTGGAAAACCCTTATGGAACCATTAGGAGACCAGTAGGAATCCCAACTGGAACCATTAGGAGACCAGTAGAAAACAAGTATGAATCCCCAATGGAACCAGTAGGAGACCAGTAGAACACAAGTAGGAATCCTCAATTGAACCACAGCATAGGTTACATTACATGGTTGACATTTTTTTGATCAGTTTAAATTCTACTACATCAATGCACTTCCAACACAGTACTCCTCACAAAATCTGCCAGCCCTTGTTTGTTTTTTTGTACTTTAAAAGGGCATGCTGGTCTGCAAAGTAGACACGAAAATGACAGGAGCTGGCATGAAGTTTGCTTCCAACACAATTAACTATTTTCTCGAGGTTCAGCCATTTCTCTCGCAAACGTCTGTTAACAAAAGACATCACAATCATGTTGGTTCATCTTTATCATATTTAACACTTAACAGTGTATCCTTTAATTATCTGTCAGAATATCATACATCATATAGTGATTACAATGACATGAACGTTTAAAAGCAAGGTTAACAGCTTAAATGAAAAAGGATTTTTTTACACATTTCAACAACAAAAGAAGAAATATAAAAAAAAAAACAATGTTAAATTGGCTAATTATTGTCTAGAAATTATAGCCATTTTTAACAAAGAGAAATCAATCTTGAAAATTTGGACTAGATGTTTAAAAGAGTAGGTTTGGCAATTTGCAATAGTTATCTTACGGTAGCCATCATGAGTAGAAACAATGAGAAATAGTTTTTGCCGAGAAATTTCGTTTGTAATTTTCCACCATGGAGAATAAGTTCATTTGCACAAATTTAAGTACTTCATTCATGTATATTAAATAGAGAATAATTCACAAATGATTACGCAAAGCATGATTTTGACCTGTAGATTGTCATAGTACATGTAAAAGATTGATATGAAGTTGCAGCAATTGGAAATGTAATATTGTGTACTACATAATATAAGCCTACTACATTCACAAGCAAAACAAATTCATTTACGTTCTTACTATTTTGACAAGTGCTGTGATATGCTGTTCATCAATAAATGTAACTTGATAGTACAGTGTATTATGACAAATTATGACAAATCGATAAACAAATGAAATATGGTCCATATTTAAGAAGGGTTTGAATTTAAAAATGAAATAGATTTCATAATTACGAAAAATATAAATGGGTGCATAATTCTGGAATTGAAAAAGGGGCGTTAATAACGATATTGAAATAGGGTTCATAATTCGGCAAATGAAATGGTATTATTTTGAATATGAAATAGGATTCATTATATTGACGGTTCGTAATTCCAAAAAGGATAAAGGGTTCTATTTGCACTTTCAGAATAATAAACTTTTGGAAGTATATTGAGCCTTATTTAATTTTCTGAATTATGAACCATATTTCATTTTTGGAATTACAAATCCTAGTTCATTTTCAGAATTAGGAATCCTACTTCATTTGTAGAATTATGAACCCTTTAGAATTTATAAAATTATGAACCCTCAGAAAACGACATAACAGTTCAAAGATTTCCTATCCATATGAATACGTGTACTGTACGTAGGTCATTTTCGTATTGTAATCAAATTTAATGAATACGGTAGGTCCTTGTTAAGTGCCTCATTACCAATTATTAAATTCACCTGTTACGAATAAATGTATTTAAATAGTCAGAATACAAATTGAATACATTACGTGTTGCTAGTACTATAGGTAGGACAAACATTATGTCTTGCCCTACCTAACAACACATAATGTTTGCATTCATGATATCGCATTCTGACTATTGAAATACAATTATTCTTAATAGGTGAAAGAGATAATTTGTTCCGCGGCACTTTGATTTGATTTATAACGAAAATGGCCTAATCACATTATGTTACATAGGGCTTACCCTTTACACTTTTTAAAGGGAAATCCAACCTTAACAGACAACTATACTTTTAAAAAATTGCAAATTAAATCTGACAGAAAATAAGGTGGTTATGGATTGTTGAAAGCTGTAATCACTAAACCTAAGGGCATTTTAAATTGGCTGATTCGGTAATGTCACTATGACGAGCTGCTGGACTACTTTCCCATTTATTTCAACACACAAAATGATTTAAATATTTTTTTTCTTCAAAATGTATGATTCACGAGTGGCTTTTCTATGTAGAGGACCTGTAATAATGTGCTATTCATAATATATTTTGAGTAGTTCTCAAAGGGAGAAGGCATTTAAAATAAAAAGAGAATTTATTATATTTCATTAACAAATGGGAGAGTTGTCCCATGACTACAGGTGTAATAATAATAATAATAGTGGGTTCTTGTGTAGCGCTCATGTCAGTCAGATTTGACCCTCCTGGCGCTCCCGATTATTACCCTGGCTTTAGCACGGCTGCCATATGGCGCTCTAGCATTTCATTGAGATATGCATGGATTTAGTGATCTCATATTTATATATTATCACAACTCCCTTTATATTGGCCCGATTTATTTCAAACTTTCGCCTTTCTTTTTCTCTTATTTTTCAGCTTCCATTTCAATGAACTTATTACAAGGGTTGGATTGTCTTTTAAGGCTCGTTCAGATATGATGCTGGAGTTGATATAAAGTTCTATATGCTTTACATTTCTATATATTATAATACAGAGATCACTGAATATGCGCAGTCCAAAATATACAAAAACATGTAGGTCCTTTGTTTCCGTTCACTTTAAACATAAAACAAAACTGCAGCATTTTTGGAATTTTTTGGGCGGTTTACGTGCCATACCTGAATAAAGTCTTAAGTGCTTAAGATTGGAATCGATTTGTATTGCATCTACCTCATTCAATTTTTCTCTATTACCAACTTATATAATTTGCCACAGGTTTTAGGAATTGACATTGTGATATGAAGGGGGTGGGGTCGAGTATGAGACTGATCTACTACATAAGCATTATGAAACAGGTCTACTTCATAAATAGTAATAACAAATTTATGCAAATACAGAGATCTTTTACCCAAAGTGTTAATATGTATGTTTGTAAACCCTGGAATTCATTAAAATGGCAAGTGACATGAATGGGCATCTCAGTTCTACATCTAAGCTATTCAGGTTCGTGGCTATAACTCACTCCCCCCCCCCCCCCACCCATCTCTCTCTCTCGATATCTCTATAATGAAGGGGAAAGTAACCTCTGTGTGTGTGTAGACCTCATTTTGGAGATATTCCTCTTCAGCTTGGACTCATGGTTTAGATTTTGGGTGGAATCTCCTGTATAATGCAAGTGCTGCTTGATCCAGGGTACATACCGGTACACGCAAAGAATTCTAATGCATGAATATAGAGCAAAAAGAAAGGAAAACAAGTTAAGAAAAACTTTTATCCATTTTAAAACTAGAATGTAAACAATGAATTAAATAATGAATTATGTCAGAAAAG